AATCCGATGTCGGAATTCGATAATTTTTATATGGTTGAACTCGTATCGGAACGGGTGTTCGGATTAAGTGAGTTTTTTCGATATTCGAGATGTGGGTCCCACTGTTGATTTTTAAAATAAATTTCAGATTTTAATCCGAAAAATTTATGATTTCATATAAAATTAGTTCCTACTATTCGTGTTGAGTATGTTGAATTGTTTGTGATTAGATTTGAAGCTTTCTAACACGAATTCAGGAGGAAAATGTGTATTGGAATTTTGAAATTGGTTGCGAAGCGAGGCAAGTGTCGTGATTAACCTTGACTTGAGGGAATAGAACCCTTAAATTATTTGTTAAGAGAATTTCATGTGTAATGACGTATAGGCGAGGTGTCGAGTGCCTATACGTCGTCAAATTAATTATTTGCATAATTACTTGAAAAATCATAAATCGTTTTAAATCATGAATTAATTATTATATTAATTGTTTCTCTCATATTCCTTGCTTAATATCATGCCTTGAATCAATGCTATAATTTCTACATGCTTATTTGATTTATGTGACTTAATTGCAACTTAACATTTAGCATACTAATTATTAAAATACCTATTTCGTCCTTAATTTCCACAATTAATTGCTACTTGCCATTACTTATTTTCTAAATAAATCATAATAATTGTATGCTTTGTTGCCTAATAATTTCTTATTAAATGTGGTATTTATTGGAGTATTTTTATATTTAAGAGTTGTTTAATTATATTTTTGGAGCGGGTTGCATGTCGCAACGGATTTATTTTTAAGTTCATATTGTTGGAGCGGGTTGCACGCCGCAATGAATTTTATTTTAAGTTTATATTATTGGAGTGGGTTGCACACCGCAACGGAAATAAATTGAGGGATTATGACTACTGAATTGACTTCAATTTTTTATATGATTTACTTGTCTTACTTCTATTCCTATTATTATTATTATTAATGCGTACATGTTAATGTAAGCGAATGCCTTAGCCTCGTCACTACTTCGTCAAGGTTAGGCTCGGCACTTACAGAGTACATGGGGTCGGTTGTACTCATACTACACTCTGCACTCCTTGTGCAGATACCGCAGTTGATCCTAGTGGCGCACAGTAGACTTGCTCGGATTCAGCTATTCGCAGGAGACTTGAGGTATAGTTGCATGGCGTTCGCAGTTTTGAAGTCCCCTTCCACTTTATCATAGCTATGTATTTATTTTAGACAGCTTTATTTTTATTTAGACCTTTATTTATATTATTTTAGAAGCTTGTGCACTTGTAACACGAGTTCTGGGATGGTATTTAGACATCACTATTATGATGGATTATTCCCTTGAATTCATACTTTATTTTTCCATTTGTTTCTTTATTATTAATTAATTTAAAATAGTTTTTAAATGGCTAATATTATTATAACGTTGGTTTGCCTAGCAAGTGAAATGTTAGGCGTCATCACGGTCCCTAAGATAGAAATTTCGGGTCGTGACAAATCACGCGCATTGAAATATATACCCTTAACTCCCATCTTAGCTCTCTGTGGATTCGACTCCGACTCTTAGTTGGTTTCTATAACTGCAAACGACCATTTCATATCTCTTTTGAGGTGTATATTTGGACACGATCAATCATAAAAAGGGGAGAAATTGATAAGTTACGTTATTTTGTGTTTGGAAAAGGGGTCAAATATACCCTTCTACTTTAGTATATTGTTCACATCTACTCTATGTTATACTATTGGGTCACATCTACCCTTACTGTTAGCCAAACTTTTTGAAAATACCATCCACCAATGCCATCAAATTAAAAAAATAATCATTTAAAAAAATACATTAACCCACAACCTGTGAAACCCATCATAAAAATACGGAACCTACATTTCTGAGACGTCTTAACACATTTTATTCATTTAGAGAGAGACTAAGAATGATGATGGCAGTAGAATTAGTAAAAACTTATATTTTTGGTTCTTAGTTGTTCATAGTGGCATTAGGATGTCATGTTAATACTTTCGGTTTTTTGTGTGGTTATAATATGGTATCCCTTTGTCTAATGTAATGCACACTTGATAGTTAGTTTGTATGTTGGTAACAACTGATATATACTTTAACAATACTTGTGTTTGGTTAATACATGAAGTTAGTGTACTTATGGTGTTAAGTTACTTTCCAACTTGTTGGTGTACTTTCTTTCATTATTGATGAATTCCTTAGACTGTAGCTTGATATTAAATCGAATCTCCTCCAATTATTTTCTAAATTTTGTTCATTATTGTTACTAAGAATTATGAGTATTACATCCCATAGCTTGGAATCTAACTTTGGTTCTTAAGGTTTGATTTGGCGATAATTACTCGTTGCCCAAATGCTTAAAGTAGAATAAGAAAATCATGGTACGTAAATACTCATCAACAAAGGCTCACTATTGGAGGAAGAAATACATCGGTAGTTGCCTTAAGACTTCAAAACTATCAACCTAATAAGATGCTATAAACATTCAAGTCATGGTGGAAAGAACATCATGGAGAATGCTTGGTACAGTTCGACATGGTGGAAAAAATAAAGAGAAAACCTAGAAGAAGAAAAAAGAAATTGGAAAAGGTAGAATATAATATACATACAATAAGGATATTAAAAGAATTGTGACTAAATATATAAATGAATATATGGTTGTCGGTATTTTTATGTCTTTCACTTTTTGAGTTCAAAGTGACTATGAAGGAGATGACTAATTTATGAGAAAAAAGTACAGTAAATAAAAGGGTTTTAACGAGGGTATTAATGGGTTTTAAAAAAATAAGTCTTTTTTTTTAATTTGGTGGCTTTCCGCTAGATGAAGGGTATTTTTAAAAAATTTGGCTAACGGTAAGGGTTGATGTGACCCAATAATATAACTGATAGTAAATGTGAACAATATACCAAAGTATAGGGGTATATTTGACCCTTTCCCTTCGTGTTTTGATGATTTGTCAAACGTTCTCGAGGAATCAAATAGGGACCAGATGTGATCAGTACATGTAAGAGATTTGGTTCTCCGGAAAAATATCAATTCTAAGTTTGTCATCATCAAAAAGGGAGAAATTGATAAGTTATGCTACAATCTCGAGGAACCGATTGTGATCAGTTCCTTTGGTCTAGTTCTCAGGGGGAATATGGTTGATTCGTAAGGGAACAATGTGAAGATCTGGTTCTCACAGGAATATCAATTCTAAGTTTCTCTTCATCAAAAAGGAGGAAATTGATAAGTTATGTGTCTTTGGTTTTGATGATTTGACAAATTTTATGAGAGAACCATATAAGGCACCTTATACAATTAGTTCCCTTACGTTCAGAGTAACTAGTCAGGTGTTTGGTTCAATTCTCAATGAAATCAAATAAGGGAACAATAGAGGGAACAAATAGGGATCAGTTCCCCTGGTCGTCGTACAGTCAACTTTACAGTTGTAAAAGTTGTTGCATTGTACCGTCTGGCAGCAGCACAGCTGTATCTTGCTAAGGACAAACTAAAGGATACTTTATTGCATCAGCATTGATGACCTCACACACACATATTATCAAACTCTCAATAACAAAGTTGTTACAAGCTCAAGGACCAGATCCAAAGATTGAAGATATCTTAAGTCCTTATTTTGTTGTGTCTTTGTTATTTTGTTCTTAATTTGTAATATTACACTACTTTATAGAAGTGTCTTTGTAGGACAGATTCAAACCACTGTTTGGTTTAGTTTCTTGACTAGAGTTAGTCAAGGTTTGTTGCTTTGTAATAGAGTTATCGCAAAGGGCTTACAATAGAGTTATTGTAAGAGGTGAGAGATTAAGAGTTTAATTCCTAGATTGCAATAAGTTGTAATTTGAAGTTTGCTCGATTTAGTGAGTTGAAATCCTACTAGGGTAAGTCGTGATTTTTAATCCCTTGAGCAAGGAGTTTTTCACGTAAATATCGCGTGTTCTTTATTTATTGTCGATTTACTATGAGAACAAATAGAGAACCTTGTTCCCTATACCGTTTGGTTTTACAGTCTGTTGCTTATTGTGGGAACCGATAAAGAGCCTACTTTTCTATACAGTTTAGTGAACTCTTGGTTTACATCACACTAGACATTCATTGTGATGTGGTTGATGAAGATATGAAGAATGACCCAATAGACATTTGTGTATATAATGGATTATATGGATGATTAGGGATGTTCGTCACAGATACGATATTTAGACATTTCGATTTGGTATTTTCAATGTTCGATTTCGTAAAATGATATACCAATACCGTACCTAATTAAATTCAGTATGGTTCGATTTTCTCCTTTCGGTTTCGATTTGTTCGGTTTGGTAACTAGTGAATAGAGTTATACACGATAATATTCTTAATTAAAGTATTAAAAAGAAGAAGAAAAAATTGTTGACAAAATTGAAATTGGGGCTATGTAGTTGTACTCTTGAAAGTAGTACTCTTGGAAAGTCTTCGTGTTGAGACGGGGGCTTATGTAGTTGTTATTTTGCTTGTATAATTCACATTGTGTTACTTCTAGAGAAACTAATACTAGGTATTATTTTTCAGAGTTTGACGGTATTCTACATCAATATCCTCTACATTAGAACCGTTACATCTTAAAATTAACTTTCTATCAGCCTGAATTCACTCAAAAATTGCTAGTCTAACTTCAAAGACAGGAGTAGAGCACAGTAAAATCTCTATTTACCTAACCTTCAGAAAGACGTACACACATTAGGTAGTAAGCCGTTGATCTTAATTAATTTGTTAGAAGCCTAACTTAGAGACTTCAAAACAACCTTATATACTGTAGATTTGGGTAAAAATAGGTAGATCTGATTCAGCTTACATTCCAGGTGACCTGCATATATATGGTAAAAGAATAAAATTGAAGAACAAACTCGCTGCAACTCATATATTTCTTTTTTCTTGTTGAACGATTTAATGTAACTAGAATTTGGGCAGATAAAAGCTTGGGACGGGAATTCAAAGAACAAAATTGAAGCGCAAGAGTTAACAGGTATGCAATTGTAGACTGTAAATCTAAATTCACTTAATTCCAGATAACTTCGTAAATACAGATCCACAAAGGTAACATCACGGTAACAATCTCGCGGTCAAAAACGAGGACAGTAACAGGAACAACAGTAAACCATAACGGAACTTCAACAAAACTTAGAACCATAAATTTCAAACAAAAGATCTGAAGGCAACGGAAAATTTAACTCCTCCAGCTTCCTTCAGAGCCACCACCGTAACCACCTTCACGACGGCCACCTCCATAACCTCCACCACCACCGTAACCACCATCACGGCGGCCACCTCCGTAACCGCCACCGCCGCCACCGTATCCACCTTCACGGCGGCCACCACCTCCGTAGCCTCCACCACCTCCGTAGCCTCCACCGCCACCACCGCGACCGCCGCCTCCGCCGCTTCCGCGAGACTGGGCTTCGTTGACGGTGATGTTACGACCGTCAAGGTCCTGACCGTTCATCCCTTCAATAGCGTCCCTCATAGCTTGCTCATCCTTGAAGGTAACAAATCCAAATCCTCTAGATCTACCAGTTTCTCTGTCATTGATAATCTGAAAAAGTCCAAATCATAAAAAAAAAAAAAAAAAAAAAAAAACATCAGATCTAACCAGATCTACAACATAAAATCCAAAAAAGGTAAAACCATAAAATCAAAAATCAAAAAAAAATAGGGGAGAAACATTAAAAGCGATCTATCTTCATCTCTTGTATAAACAGAGGAAGACGGAACGTACCGTTTCGGGGAAAGTGGAATAACAGTAACAAATAGTAACAGTAACAGATAAACCAGAGAGTAGTAACAGTAACAGTAACAGTAACAGAGAGAGTAGTAACAGATCAATTTTTCCAGTAACAGAGGGTCAACGAAGCCGATTCAAATCGGCTCGAATCCGATCTCTGCTCTGTTTTCCAACAGACCTTCGAGTCGACAATTTCACCGTACTGAGAAAAAGCATCCCCAAGTGTTTGGTCGGTGGTAGCCCATGCTAGCCCACCGACGAAGCACCTGTATTCAGCATCTGCCATTATTTCCCGATTAATAATAAGAAGAATACCTAAAAACAAAGTGAAGAGAGAGCTGTGGATACGAGAGTAGAAAACGCCGGTTTTTATAGGCTGGTTGAGGAGCCTAGGGTTGAGTCTAGGGCTGGTTAAGTTAATCGTGCACGGCGGTTCTTTTCCTAACTTCAATGCAACTCGGGTTTAGGGGTCTGGTTAAAAAAATTGTCCGTTTGGTTACTGAGAAAACTCCGTCTCTCGTGTATTTGTCACTTTCTTCAACTTGTTCCAGACACAAATAATTCATATTCACTGCAAGTTAGAATAATACCATAAATGTTTTAGATGTCAGTTTTACTACTTTTAATTGCAGATCAATTATATTATCATATTTATTTAATATGTATTTTTTTTGTAAAATAATAAGTATGTGACATGTTTTTTCTATAAGATCAATTATATTATCATATTTATTTAATATATTTTTATAATATTAAACTATTAATTAATCATGATAAATTAATATGATTTAATTTATGTATAAGATTCGAATAATTTTTTCTCCAAGTATACTCGCACTATTTCACCTTCTACAAATCCACCATGTCGTGACACGATTTGGTACATGTACGAGGTCCAATAAATTTTTTTCTCCAAATGTGCTTGCATCTGTATGTGTACTTAATTCGTATTTCAAGGGAAAATGTGGTCATAATGTGACAAATTAGAGTAACGTAATTTCGCTTTCTACGGAGAAAACAACTTGAATAGTAACTAAAATAGTACTCCATAAAATAATACTCCACTACACTGAGATTAAAAGAGAAATGGACAAAAATGACCAATCAAGTACAGCTTTAGGTATATTAGGGGGAATATGCAAGTGCCGTTAATTTGCACTGGCAACAGATAACCTTTGGTGGCTAACCAGGGTTAAACTAGGGTTTGAAAAACCCCGTCTGGCACGGCGCTGCCCATAAAATATCAAAAGCTAAAGATATTTATTTATACAGTAAGGTCCACCAAATTATTGACTTGGCAAATTACTTACTCCAATTTTGCAATTTGATTCTTGTGGATTCATAATTAATTTTTTAGACAATCAGAGTTAATTAAAGAAGAATAGGAGTAACATTTATTAGTTCATGCGCGTATAAATATTCTTGTAGTCAATGTGGGGCAACCATGGATTAAGGGTCCTTAACGTTGAGAATTTGGGAGAGAAAAAAGGAAGCAATATGACCTCATTATGTCCACACAATTGCACACCCTCTATAATAGGAAAACTTAAAAGAAAAGACTACTTAATAATTCTAGGAACAAGACTTGGATAATGTGTCAAAGAAGAAAATTCCAACTAAGTTTAGAGGGCCGCGTATTACTTTGGCCTATCAAAAAGATCCATCATCTCTATCTTGTTATTGCATATTCATCCTTTTTTTGTGTGTGTGCGCGCATATTTTTGTGTTTTTAGATTATTATTTATTTATTTTTCATTTTTGTCGTAGATCTAACATTGATATGTTATTCGTTATGCTTGAGCTCGATAAAACTAGATGGTTAATGTAAATGATAAAATAGGGTTGTTGACTGATAATAGGTTAAATCAATTTAATTACATATATTAACAATTGAGCGATATTGGCAAGTGTTGTCGAAACGACAAAACTAGTAAAAAAATTAGTAAGATAAGTAGAATGAATATAATATCAAGTCATTCCAGTCTAATCAGAGGCGGACCCAGGATTTAAACATCGCGGGGGCACCATTATCTTTAACATAAATATGAAAATAATATTAATTGCAATAAAGTTTGGCGTGCAACTCTTTGAAAACTTAGTGATTACGAGTTCGTAGCCGAAAGAATGTTCAAAAACATAAAAAACTTTAACAAAATCATGACTAATAAAAGTCTGTAAGCAATTCAAAAAGCCTCAATCGAAGTCCTAGAGTCAACGAATACTTGCTACTTTGCCAAAGTAAACGTTGAAGGGAGAAGGTTTTCGTTGTCTTTATTTTTTCTAAATGAAATAATAATAAAAATTGATTAGAGATAAAGATTATTGACTAATGAAACTAGTTAATGAAATATTTTATCCCCATTTCCTACTATCTTTAATCATTATTTTTGTGTCTCTTTATTAATTTTTCAAAGTCTAGAAAATGTATCTCCAATAGAGTTTTGAGGATTTTGTGTAGAAGATACAAAGAACTAATCGTGAAGAGAAGTTGAGTTTTGGAGCTTAGATGGAGAGATTTTTTAAAAAAAAATAAACTAAGCGACTTCTATGTACTAGTACTAAATTAATGTTTGAATTAAAAATTAAATAAGCCAAGTTGATTACTAAATATGGAGTACTAACTGTCGTTCAATTAAAAAAGGAAAAAAGAAAGAAACGTTGAAGGGAGAAGGGTTTTAGTTGTCTTTATTTTTTCTAAATAAAATAATAATAAAAATTGGTTAGTGATAAAGATTATTGACCAATAAAACTAGTTAATGAAATATTTTATCCCATTTTCGTAATGTCTTTAATCATTATTTTTGTGTCTCTTCATTAACTTTTCAAAGTCTAGAAAGATGTATCTTCAATAGAGTTTTTGAGTATTTTGTGTAGAAGATACAAAGAACTAATCGTGAAGAGAAGTTGAGTTTTGGTGTTTAGATGGAGAGATCTTAAAAGAAAAAAATTAAACTAAGTGACTTCTATGTACTATTAAAAAGGAAAAAAGAAAGAAGTGGCGAAGTAATGATGTAATGATGGTGTTGGGTGTCGATCCTCGGTCTAGTAGTGAGGGAATAGAACTAAACAACTTGTGGAACCAGTGCAACTAAGGGGCATCTTGATCTTTTGGGGGCACAATTAAATTATTATAGGGGTTTTCGACGTCTATACAGTAATATATATATGGTTTTTCCCGAGCCTATAGGGTGCCAGTGACCCCTCACCTCTACATGTGGGTTCGCCCCTGAGTCTAACAAAACTTACAAACAATAGATGCAAGTTTGCAATCCAAAAGAATATGTGAACAAATTGTACTAAAGTTATACTCGTTCGTCATAACTTGTACACAAAATAAGTTTTACTCACCCATCAAAACTTGTAAACAAGGTAAGTTGGCCAATCCAGCAAGACTTGTGTACCAAAATTATGCTCAAAGGCTATTTTTCCACTAATTCCTAACGGGGACAAAACATAAACGTCGGTGCGAAATGATCCTAACTATAAAAATTAGATGAATTTTCATAAACCACTATAGTATAGAGCCTAATAACTATATTTTGCCTAATTATTATTCGTAACTACTGTTCAATTGTTACTAACTTGTATCTCTTGTATTCAAACACGTAACGAATACAACATATGTCAACTATATTTGTTCGCGCAACGAATACAAATTGTATTAACTATATTTGTTCACACAATTGTATTCATTCGTACAACGAATACAATATGTATCAACTGTAACTAAAGCGAAATATAGGGTGTATACAAAAGATACAACTTGTATCAACTTTATATAGGGGCTATACAAAGGATACAACATGTATCGACTGTATTTGTTCGCGCAACGAATATAACTAAGGCAAAATACAGAAATACAGAAAAATAAAATATTCTTGTTCAGATTCTAACTCAAGACCCTCATTAGCTAAGCATGCGCTCTAACCAATTAGCTATTTTTTCTAATAATATTTATAATAAAACTTAGTTAGAACTACATTATTTAGGCTAATTGTAACGACCCGACTGGTCGTTTAACTTACTAGAACCTTGTTCCCCTAAATAAGACTTTCCGTACTTGCTTTTACTGATTTATGACTTGTGGGTATGGTTGGTTCGGGATTTGGAAGAGTTTCAGTTGAAATCGGAACACTTGGTTCCTTAAGGTTGGTTTAAAAGGCCAAGTTTGACTTTGGTCAAAATTTTGAATAAACGACCTCGGAATCGGGATTTGACAATTCCAATAGGTTTGTATGATGATTTCGGACTTGGGCGTATGTTCGGATCGGGTTTTGGATGACCGGGAGCGTTTTGACGCCCAATAGTGAAAGTTGGTTCTTGAAGAACTTTGAAATTCTTTAAATTTGGCTTGGAGCGGGTTTTGGTGTTATTGAGGTCCGAATGGAATTCTGGGACCGGGAATAGTTCTGTAATGTCATTTAAGACTTGCACGCAAAATTTGGTGTCATTCCGAGTAGTCTAAGCATGATTCGGCGCATTCGGAAAGTTTTAGGCTTACACCATGCTTTATGGACACCGTTAACTAATCATATATGTTGATTGTATTGGATAAGAACTAAATTGAAGATTTTTCTTTTAGAATTTCAAAGGTTTCAAGTAAATTATTATTTTAAAAATAATTGAGGAAAACTATGTTATATTTATATATAACCGCGTCGCAAGTATATTCCGCGAGCGGGTGACTATTTTTAGTACTATCATGGGAGCGGGTCGTTTGCCTCGGCAGGTTAATAGATGCATCTATGGTTCGCGTCGTTCGACCCTTAGTAGTGCACAATTTATATTTTTATGTTGGATCGGGCCAAACGTCCTCGGTAGAATTTATGTGTGATAAAAAGACTGGAAGTCTTTGTATACTTGGTATAAATCTACCGTTTTAAAGGTCATTTGTTTTAAATAAAGGAAGTGGTTTGGGTTCTTAAATATGACGGAAGAACTGTTCAGTTATTTCTTGTTCTGAGTTTATTGTTAGTTATGTATATCGTGCTTATTTAGAATCACACATTACTATATTGTTGGCCCTAGTAGGTGTCGAAGTCGACCCGTCGTCAATACTTCTTCGAGGTTAGACTAGATACTTACTAGGTACATATTTTTTTATGTACTCACGCTACACTTCTGTACTTGATTGTACAGGATTTGATGCAGGCGCATCTGGCCACCATCCGGCGCGTAGATTGATTTCCCTGCTCGAGACTTCTAGGTGAGCTGCCTTTTTTAGCCGTTCTGCAGCAGCTGGAATCTCTATTATGCTTTATTTTCTGTCTATTTCCTTTTAGACAGTAGGCTAGTATTTGTTTTGTATATTCTACTAGATTGCCTACATACTTGTGACACCAGGTCTTGACACACACTA